TCAAATAATTATAAAATAGCTATATATAACTATCAGTCATAATGGAACACCCCCTCATTGGTGCTGTCCAAGCAGAGGTTGAATGACTGTTTGTTACAGTAGGGATTCTTTTCAGGTTTGGCCTGGACTAGTTGGCTGATGAAGCATCAGACACTTCCTAGCTGGGTGACCCTGGGCAAGTCACTTAACCCCATTTGATTCAGTTTTCTCATCTGTAAAATGAGCTGGAGAAGGAAATGGCAAACCATTGAGGATCTTTGCCAAGAAAACCTCAGAGTTGAATACGACTGAAAACAACTGAATAAAGATGGCTGCTGAGGTTCTTTCCAACTCTCAAATTCTGTGATCCATAAGAAAGATGCAAGCATTATGTGAAGTCTGAGGAAGGAGAGATAATTTCTGAGTGGGGGATCAGGGAAGGCATCATCTGAGCTGGGTTTTTAAGGATGTGTGAAGTTTCAGCAAGTGCAGAGTAGAGTTTGTTATAGGCACAGGGCAAAACAGAGTTCAGGGCTTGAATTCATAAGAGATCTGGTTTCCACTGCTTCCTGATTCTTGCTACCTGTATGTTGGGGATCTGCAAGGATGTAGAGGGCCACAGGCTGTTCATGAGGTCTCACTGACAGGGGGAGGCCCCTTTTGGGGCACTGATCTCTGAGAAAAGGTCACCTGGTTTGGTGCTCCATTGTATGGATCTTTAACAATCTTTAACTCCCCTCTGTGAGGAATTTCAAAACTCCCCAAGGGGAAGTAGAAAAGAAATGTGTAGTCACAGCACTATATTGTGGACATTGTGGAACATTACGAAGTGAAAAAATTTCCTTTTATAAAAACCAAAACCTTAAGAAAGATTTTGCCTGGTTTTAGAATACCATGAAAAGAAAAGATAAAATAAAATAAAAATAGTATTATTTCATTTGTGTAGGGAGTTTCTGACAAGTTTCTCACTTTTGGATTCTCCCTGTCATTTTTTTCTATGTTTGTCTGTATCTATGTGAATGATGGTCTGTGATTAATGTCTGTGATCTGTTTAATCTTTTACTGCCAGGCAGCCAAGGGCTGCAACTGGATTTTGAAATGCTGTTAGTGACTTTCTCCCCTTCCCCCTCCCTAATACCAGCTGCATTTCTGGGAAGCGGGTAGATGGGAGAGAGAATGGGAGAAAAAGTACTTCATTATTTAAGTTATATAATTTGACAAAAGGCAAGAAAGTTTAAGCATACAGGAATAAGAAAAGTATGGACAGAAAGAATATCTGTTTGCATGAATAGCAGGAATAGAAGATTTGAGAGTAAAAGATTTGGAAACTTTTGGAGAAAAAATTCTCTTTCTTTTTTGCATTCTAAAGCTCTGGCCAAAGCTTTGGGTGTAAGATTGAAAGATTATGTTGAAAAATATTCTCTTCCTTTCTCTCGAATTCCAACCCTGGCCAGGTTGGGGTGGGGGGGAAAGAAGAAGGAGATAAGGAGGACAGTTTTCCTCTTCAAATCAAAAAGAAAAGTTTTTAAGTACTGGAACACAATTTAAAGATAATTTAGTTCATTCACATTAGTAATATGCATGTTTCAAGTTTTAAAAATCTAGTCTCATTACAAATTGGTACACTTTATGTGTTATATCAAGCAATTTTTAATAATTTAGATGTTATCAAAACGTGAACTAAAAGAAACTGAAAGGTAGTGAGATAACTGTGTAAATTCAGCTAAATTATTTTATCAAGTCCGGTTAATCTTGTTCTATGATGTTTTATAACTATCATTTAGAAGATCAGGTATTTCTATCTTTACCTATGATTAAAAGAACAGCTTAGAGCTAAAACAATTTAACTATCACTCATGAAAATTACCAAATTGTTAACTAAGTTATTTGAAGTTACTGTTTTAAAGCTAAGACTGAGAAATTGCAACTTTATATAAATAATTTCTACTAACTGGCTTTTTCACCAAGACAAGTTTAAATGTGGGAAAGAAAGGATGTTAAGTAAAATTTCTCATATATGTGAGTCCTAGTAAATCTTTATTGATTATTGCACTTCTATGAAAATAATTAACTGTATCTGGCTTTAAGCCATAATCAGTGAAACTTACTGCTTGAGGTAAAAGACTCTTAGAACTATAATTAACTTTGTTTTGAGCTTGAATTTGGGTATGGTTGTCTTATTAAATCAGTATTTCCCATTTTCCCTATTATGATCCTTTAAGGAGGAATGTTTCTTACCATGTGCCGAAATTTTGTTCATCATACTATTAAACTTGTTAGTCAGACCATATTCCCAGACAAAAATAATTTATTGTATGGATGATAAACTTTGCAGTTGTCCTACTACTACCAAACTTTCCTTATTAATGCCCAAGTTTTAACAAGCTTTTCAGTCAACAAGCCTTTCAGTCTCATAGATTTATAATTACCCCTGAAAGGGTACAGAGGGTATCACCCTTTGCTTACTTTGGGTGTATTGTTCTGCAGTCTGCAGGTATACCACCAAAATGTTACAAATTAATCAAGATTCCTTGATAATTTTTAATAATTTTCACATGACTTTTACAGATATTAATTACTTTTAACTTGCCTAATAAATCACCACTAATCAATTATTTTAAGATGAAGTTAAACTACTAGGATAACAGATAGCTAAAACTCAATTCACTTCCCCTTAATTTGTGGGTGTGATATTTTACATTTACTGAGAGCTGTTATTTTCTCCCGCCCACTGCTTTTTCTATCGTAAAACTGACAAAATACAAAATGAAATCCAGTGAACTTGTTTGGGTTCCTTAAAATTCACCTGTTTTTATTATTGCAAAGAAGTCAGGAAAATTAACGATGCTTTATGACTTCCTAGCCTTTGATAGTTATTGATTTAAAAGATTGCTTTTTTACTATTCCATTACAAAAAGCTAAAAATGATACATTACATGGATGACATTTTATGTGCTCATCCCAATCCTGAAGTGTTGGAAGAAATCTTGTTAAAAATACTAAATTTGTTGCAAAGTCATGGGCATCAAATAGCCCCAGAAAAAATTCAAAAACTTCCTCCATATCAATATTTAGGTCACCAGATACTTCAAGAAAAAATAGTTCTACATCCTCCAAAAATAGACCTACAAAAGTTGAAAACACTTAATGATTTTCAGAAACTTATAGGAGATATACAGTGGCTTCAGTCACAGATAGGCATTCCAAATTATGAATTGATACCTTTATATGATTGCCTTAGAGGTGATCCTCAATTAGATTCACCCCGAATACTGACCCCTGAGGTGAAACACACATTGTTATATTCAGGAACAAGTAGTTGGAGCACACACAAACAGGATTGATATGCATGAAAGCATGGAAGCTTCTATATTTAACCCTCCAAATTCTCCAACAGCAGTGATACATCAGAAACAAAGGCTTTTTAGAATGAGTATATTTACCATCTCAGCCAAAAATACTTTAAGTAATTATATGGCCTTGATAGGGGACTTAATACATAAAATTGACAACAGGTGTTTAACATTATGTGGCACACATCCGGAAGTCATACACCTTCCATTTTCTCAACAAATGATTGAAACAGCAATACAAACAATGCCTAACTGGCAAGTGAATATCAATTTGAAACTTGTGTATGGAAAACCCTTTAAATATCATGCAATCTTTGAGAATTGGCCTTGGATACAACCCACACTTACAGCAGGTGAACCTTGTACACAGGATTAATGTTTTTACTAATGCCACAAAGATGAATAAGGACTCTATCTGGTGCCCTAAAAGAAAGGAGTTACATGTGATTGAAACACCCTTTACATCCACACAACAGAATGAATTATATGCTGTCTATTGTGCATTTCAAAAATATGAGGAGCCAATGAATATTATCACAGATAGTAAATATGTTGAAGGAATTCTAAAACATCTAGAGACTACTATAATAAAAAATACTGGTAACAATATATGTCAGCTGCTTAATGATATACAACTTATGATAACAGAATAGGACAGAAAAATTTTATGTTTTGCATGTTCGTTCCCACACTCTTGCCCCACGACCAGTTTTTGAAGGTAATGATATTGTTGATAGGTCTTTAACAATGAATGTGGAAATAGCAAAGAATAGTCATAATAAGTTACATTTATCTGCTAGGTCTTTAAGAACTTTATACGGCATAAAGGCGTGTGCCTTTTCAACCCCCTTTCCATGTTGATGTCCATAACCCCAAGGGACTTAACACCTAACACCTTATGGCAAATGGATGTTACTCATTATTCTCCTTTTGGAAGACAAAAATATGTTCATATTCCTATTGATACTTATTCAGGCTTTATTTTTGCTACTGCTCAAGCGGGTGAGGCTGTTCGCAATGTTGTTAATCATCTGCTTCATTGTTTTTCCTTCACTGGCCCACCCCAATGCTTAAAGACTGATAATGGTCCTGCATATATTTTGCAAGGTTTTAAAAAGTTTTCTACTGAGCTCTCTATTAGTCACACTACTGGCCTTCCCTATAATCCTTATGGTCAGGCCATAGTTGAACATGCCAATCGTACCTTGAAAATGGTGCTCCAAAAACAAAAAAAGGGGAGCTAAGGGATCCCCTTGGCATCAATTGAACACTGCACTCTACACTATAAATTATTTAAAATTCGATAGTTGTAACCTCTCTCCTGCAATGAAATATCTGGCAGGAAATGACAATAGTACTAGTGACACCACTAAATCAAAGATTCCTTTCTCCCAAACATAATATGAAAGTTATGTGGAGAGACGTTGATGGCATCTGGCAGGGCCCAGGGCTAGTGCTAACCTGGGGGCAAGGGTTTGTTCTTATTTTTACAGGTGATGGAGAACTCTGGGCAGAACAAAGGATGTCCCCTTTATCCATTTAGAAGGGACAAAGCAAGCAGAAGAGAAAACACAGGCCGAACAGGAAATTGAAGGAGCCGAAAGAATAAGAAGAAGGCACTACAAGAACTTTTAACCAAGCTATGCCTCTTGTCATTCTCGTCAGCAGGGATGCAGAATACAGCAGCAGCAGAGACAGGAAATACAACACGATGGGCCTTTGTGACAAAACCACCATGGCCCAGACTAGTTACATGGGGAGAGACAATACCTGAGGTCATTCTGCAAGGAAATGCCTCAACGGGTTTTGGCAAGGAATTTCATTTCATATTACCTAAGAACCGGTCTCAACACACTGTAAAAATGAACTTTACTGGTATGGCTTTGGTGCCGCCTATTTGTGTTACAAAAGGCAATGACACCAAAGACTCCACGTGTTTACAATTATTTAATGTCACCACCCGTTTTGATGGGTATGTGTTTAATAACACGGCACCCCCTCCTTATACTGTTGTCTTTTTTCAATTTTATAAGGTTACTTACATGGGCATCTTGGGTCACAGTGTGTTAATGACACACCTATCAGATCCAAGTAATTCAAAGCCATGCTATCATGTGACACCGATTAGCAAGAGTTTAGGGTATACTCCTTGGTTATCTTATCATACTTCAGAACGTCATTGTGTTATGTTACAAAAGAATTTTACGTTACAATCCTGGCACAATTATACTAGGGAGAAAAACAATCATACTTGGGGTTTTGGCAGGTTTCCATTTCCTCAGTGGGTTTCCCTTCATGACAGAGGGGTTGAAAATCAGTTGTGGAAGGCGTGGGCAGCCTTAGGCCCCATAAACATCACGAATTTGCAAAGGACCTTCCATGATAATATGACAATGCGAGCTTGTTTGACTGGTAATTATGCATTTATGTGGGGAAGAGCACAGAATGTTAATATATAGCCGTGGATTCAGGGGAATATAATGTCACTTGTATTAATTGCAGGATGTCTGAATGTATAGGAACCAAGATTAAAGACCAAATTATTTTTGTTATTACACAACAAAAGTTTGCCTTGGTGCCTGTGAAAAGCAAAGATTGGTATGAGTCACGTTCTGATCATATTTTTGGAATAATAGACCAAAGTAATCAATTAGCAGTTGCTAGGAAAAAGAGATGTATTTCATGTGTAGTATTAGGAATTGTTTCAATTACAGCTATCATAACTGCTTCTGTATCTTTATCTCAATCCATATCTATCTCAAGAAATGAAATGGTTCAAGCTGATTTTATGAATCAATTAGCTCACAATGTATCTAAAGGTTTTCAAACATAAAAAAGGATAGATGATGAATTTTACCATATGCTTGAGGGAATGAAGGAAACCATTATTGAAATAGGTGATGAATTGGATATTTTAGAATATAGAACGCATTTAAAATGTGATTATAGGTATGAATTCATTTGCCTTATCAATGTTAAATACAATAAATCCCAATGGGATTGGCAAAGAATACGTAGACATCTAAATGGGCTGTTTGGAAATTCTACTATTGCAGTGGATATTGATGACTTATACAAAATTGCTAAAGATATTGCAAGGGCGGCTGATAAGGATTTGATGCCAGATAAAACTGCCCAACTTATACTTGATTGGATAGATAAACTCCGTAATCCTTTTAATGACCTTGGACATTGGTTTATACCTCTATTGTCTTCCTTATTGCCATTATGTTTGATTTTGCTGGCCAAGCTATGTTTTGGACCATATTTGCTCAGGTGCATAGCTAATCTGATAAAGGACTTTGGGACTGAGCTTCATATGCTCCGTCTCCGTCAAATACAAAAAGGGGGAGTTGTTGGGGATCTGCAAGGATGTAGAGGGCCACAGGCTGTTCATGAGGTCTCACTGATGGGCAGAGGCCCCTCTCGGGGGTTGATCTCTGAGCAAAGGTCGCCTGGTTCGGTGCTCCATTGTATAGATCTGTAACAATCTTTAACTCCCCTAGTTATTGTATGGTCATTAGCAGTCTATTCTGGGATTGGAGTGAGATAAGTGCACAGAATGTGCATGCACTGTCCTTGAGCACAGCATGGGCTATATGTCATTGTAACTTGAGAAAGAGTTCCTGTTATTTTACTATATAAGTAAGTGCTTTGCTAAAAATAAACGGAGTTGCTTCCATCTTGTCTCCCGCCTCATCAATGTGGATTCGAGATAGAAGGTTAAGCTGGCCTTACCCCTTCAAAGTTAGTATAGGATCCTGGCTCTAGTGGTGAGCTGAATTAGTTGTGCACAACACCTGTATGGACACAGGAAATCCCCTAACCTTCCTGAGTTTCGAAGATATAAAAATCATCATTTAGATAGTTTAGCCATGAGAAATAGGACAGCCAGAGTCATCAATAATCATTTCTGCAATTGCAAATGACTTCTTATTTTCAGAAGCACAGTTCTACCACTCAGTTCACTAAAAATACATAAAGTCTTCTCAAGACTCCTTTTAACCTTCTATGAAAGATGAGGGTTAAAAAAATCTGTCACGAAAGGGCTCTCCAGCTAGAATGTGGAAATTTTTCTTATATAAAGGAGGAGCACAAGGACAAGCTTTTATAGTGGAGAGGAAAATGGGGAAGGAGGGTAGCAGGCAATGCTTGAACCTCATGCTCATTGAACCTCATGATTCAAAGAGGGAATTGGTTTAAAATGTGTGTATACACACATGCACACACACACACACACACACTCAGTTGGGTATAGAAATCTATTTTACCTATAATAGGGAGATAAGATGGGAAGGGAATAAGAGATATGGGGGGTGGAGATGATAAGAGGGAGAGTGGACTGGCGAAAGTAGTAGCTGGAACCGAGACAGACTTTTGAGGAGGGACGAGATAAAAAGAGAGAGAAGAATAAACAGAGGAAAATGGGTTGAAGGGAAATAAATACACAGTCAGTGATGATAACTATAAATATGAATGGGATGAACTAACCCACAGAATGGAAGCAGGTAGCAGAATGAATTAGAAACCAGAATCCAACATGCTGTATATAAGAGATACACTTGGGACAGAAAGACATACATGAAGTTGAAATGAAAGTCTGGAAAAGAGTCTATTATACTTCAACCGAAGTGAGGCGGGAAGGGGTAGCAAATATGATCTCACACAAAGCAAAAGCAAAAAAAGACCTAATTGAAAGAGATACTCAGCAAAACTCTATTTTGCTAAACAGGTATCATAGACAATGAATATAAAAAATTTTATAGCAAGTTTATCTGATAAAGGCCTCATTTCTCAAATATATAGGGAACTGAGTCAAATTTATAAAAATAACCATTCCCCAATGGTAAAAGAATATGAACAGGCAACTTTTAGAAGAAATCAAAGCTATCTATAGTCATACGAAAAAATGCTCTAAATCACTTGATTAGAGAAAGGCAAATTAAAACAACTTTGAGGTACCACTTCATACCTATCAGAAATGAAGAATGCTGGAAGGGATGAGGGAAAACAGGTACATCAATGAATTGTTGGTGGAGTAGTGAGCTGATCCAGCCATTCTGGAGAACAATTTGAAACTATGTCCAAAAGACTCCTCTCTCTCAACTGTTAGGACTACAGTTCTGCAGTGTCCTATATGGCACTGTGAGAGATGAACTCTCAGAAGTGAAGCCTCCTCAAAGTCAATAATTTTTGATTATTATTTTCAAAATCCTCCCCCGCTCAGACCCTGTTTTTAAGCGCTAACAGAAAGAATAAGCCCTGCCCCACCCCCAACCTGAGCCTTTGCCCTTGGCTTCCCGCCTCTTTCCTTGTCTTTGAATTTTGGGCCTGGAATGTAAGTCCCACCTGGTGGGTGGAGACTTGTTTGCCTGGTGGGTGGACACTTGTTTGCGTAGTGGGTGGAGATTTTGTGTGGTGGGCGGGAGAATTGCTTTTATAAGGCTGCCCCTGTTACTCCCCCTCTCCCTCCCCCTCTCCCTCTCCCCCCCTCTCCCTTCCTCTCCTTCTCCCAGTGCATCTAAGGAGCAGATAGCCATCTCCTTAAGAAGTCTCTGACTTCAATTTGGATTAGGGTCGCTGGCTTTGCTTGTGAATCCTGGACACATGTCTTACTACACTACCTTTGCTGCTGCCACCAGCTTTCCGTCATCTTGCTATAGCCAGAAGTTTCTATCTGTTCCAAGACACTGGGGGCCGAAAAGGGGCAGGATAGAAGGAAGAGGATCCCAGGCAGGAGGAAGAAGCATGGCTAGGGAACAGACACATCCTATTGGACAGAAAAAGACTAGGCCAGAAAAACCAGAGAGATTTTTCCAGATTATAACTGATATTCAGGGTTGTTTTTCCCCCCATCATCTTTTCTACAAGAACAATGATTCTTAGATTCTCACTTGTACCTCTATTTCTAGGTCATTTAAAAAAAAAGCATGCTTATCTCAGAGCACACTTTATCAAGTTTGCTCTTTTGACTTTCCTCTAATAATTCTTATATCTTTGAACTTTTTGAATTTGTTTTCTTTTTTTTCTTTTTCTGGTTCACTGCTTTGCTGAAGTTTTCCAGTGTCTAGTCTAAGCAGGTAACCTTCCTTCTGAGTTTTTTTTTTGAATTCTAATTTCTTTCCTTCTATTCTTTTATTATTTTTTTTAATTTTTAGGCAATTGGGGTTAAGTGACTTGCCCAGGGTCACACGGCTAGTAAGTGTCAAGTATCTGACCTGAGGCCGAATTTGAACTCAGGTGTCCTGACTTCAGGGCCATCTAGCTGCCCCCTTCTATTCTTTTATTAGGCCTACTAATCACTCTTCCTTAGTGGTTCTAATGGCCATCCCCTTCTGTTTTCTTTTCTGTGGTTCTAGTTCTAGTTATTTCAGTATTATTCTCTTCCTCTGAAATTTTAGTATTCTGGTATTCTTTTACCCTGTAGTCTTCCTTCATAATTGGGAGTTTTTCTTTAACTGCTCATTACCCCTGTCTATTCTTGTTAGAGTAGTAGAATTTTTAGTAGAGGTTTTCTTGTGGGTTTCCTTTCTTCTATGCTTAATATAATTTCTTAAAAGTTTATTTGGTGTGTTTCTAGTTAGTCTTAGTGTGCTTCTAAGATGTTTCCAGTTTTTGCTACCACAAAGTGTTGCTATAAATATTTTGCCATATTTAGAAACTTTCATTCTGTCTTTGGTATCCTTAGGATATATACCAAGCAGTGGGGTCTATGCTTTCTCTCTCTCTCTCTCCCCCCCCCCTCTCTCTCTCTCTCTCTCTCTCTCTCTCTCTCTCTCTCTCTCTCTCTCTCTCTCTCTCTCG